GTAAGCCAATTAATAAACATAGTTTATTTATGAGTCAGCGTATAAGTGACTCTTAATTAGAAAATAAATTAAAAATAGAAAACGATTTCAAGAAAAGACTGTAAGCCACTGTGACTACTGCCTATCACTGGACGCTTAACCCAAAAGCCTTAGCATGTCGGTGACAAAATTCTCCATGTCCTTTCCTCATAAAGAAGGAAAGTCAAAGTACTTTAGATGGTATCTCAGCAAGCGGTTCACCTGATGATTTTTAACCATTCGCATCCAAGATCACTAATAGTACCAGAGACATTTCTGACGTGTTTAAGTGTGGGTCATAACAGATACGTCTGTGACATAACAAATGGAGGATAGATTAAATCGATTTTTACTATCTACCAAGGTCTCGGTACATCACTATAAATTGTCCACCTACGTCCAATTTGTGCGGGTCTCGGTAGAGAGGCTCTTGTATCGTTAAGCCCATTAGTAGGTAACGTCACTAGGTTGGCTCCAATTATAATTCCTTCGCAACGGTTTCGTAATTACAACTAATCGGATAAATGATTGCATTAAATTGTCGCATTCCATTTCGAGACTCGATAAAAAGAAATTCATCCTGGTCGATAGCGTGGTAACGTGTGGTTCTTTTTAATTGGCGCTAAAATAGACGTCAGCAAAATGCTGGTTTACGGTAACTTCAGTGCCATTGAAACTAGGTACATGAGCTATATGGCTAGGTTTGTGTATCTTTGAAAAACTTAACAATATGAGTTATAATCAGTAAGTTTTAGTTTTAATCTTTCAATCGATGACTCATGTTCATCATTCTTTTTATCTTGACAGTTGAGCAACGCAGTCGTCATTGTAGAGTTTGAGGTTTAGAAAGATTTATTGACGATCCCACAATTTCTAAGGAATGTTGGAATTTAAGTACACATTAAATGTAGATATGTTAGTTATGTAATCGTTAAAACGGTACACTATATTAGTAATGGTGAGGTGGGGGAGAGGAGACTCTCAAATTCTTGCAGTGCAGTTAATTTATTAAAAGACAAGTAAGTAAGACCCCGTGATCGGAACTATGTCTGTGACGTTTCGTAAAACAAGTCAAAATAATGTTAAGGTATATTGAGGTACAGATATTAGTGCAGGCAATGCTTAGAGGGCAAGAGAAAAACATCCCGTATAAGTTGTAGCTTATACTGGAAGGATTGACAGTAAGCATCGACTGCTCGATCAATCGGGACATGCACAAAGGTAGAGGGCCGTGAACCCCGTTTCCACCGTCTGCACTTTGTACTTTCGACATTTAAATAGTTGTATAAACAGAGAGGCTGACGACGTTTGACGTCGATAGTATCAACATCACTTTTGAGATAACTCTGTTCGGAATTAATACATCCAATTTTTGCAATTACGTTCCCGGGCAATGCTTATAACAAACGATTTGCGATAAATCTACGACACGTGAGGAACGGCCGCGAAGTACATATTGCGGGGAAATTGATTATAAGTGGGCAAAAAGTAATTGATGCGCTCCAGTAGATGGGCGATAGAAAATAACGTAAAACATTATAAATTGTAACGACTAAATAAACGCGAACGCGTGAGGTTGTTCAACAAGCTCAGATGAAGCCTTAGAGCTTTGAAAGATATTATTGACTTGGATTCTTTCGTTATCTTATCCTAATGTTTACTTATTTTTTCTTTGTTTTATGCTTTTAATTTTAAATAGGTTGTGATTGTTAATTTTGTAATGTAACTTGATTTGAAGGAAATAGATGTTTTAGCACCTCACTCTTTCCCTAGCTTTACCTGTCGTAGATACAACTTCTGTGCTCAAAAACTAGCCAATGTTTGATTATCATCATCCCACCTGAGAAAAAAAGCAATAACGCATTAGAAACAATGGTAAAACAAAATATACTCGAAAAAAAAAAAAAAAGAAATAAGTCGGCAGTACAGTAACTGCGTTTGGCTTACACATTAATTGGTGTTTAATTATCCAAGATCAAAATAAAATTGTTACGTTTCGGTGCATGCTTTGATTCTCAATGCTAAAAAAACTTCCCAAATAGAGCTTTTCTTCATAAATTTTTAAATGCTTAATTAACGCACGTCCATGAATTAACATACTCGTACATGAGCTCATTGTTATTTACCCTGATAGATATTTTACTACTAAAAACTGAACAAGACATGTGTCTATACATTTTGATGAACAAATATACGGGCAAACTCATCGAGGACGACTTGAGCGAAAGTAAAACGGCCAGGTTGGTGATATAATGAAAAAGGCCACATTCAAATTAATCATAGACGGTGAGCAAGCGTGCGGAGCTGAATGTTGTTTCGAAGTGTCCATTCCTTTACTGGTTGAATAGGAGTGGGGAAGATAAAGCCAATAAGTCAGGATCGTGTAAAATGGGAAGCCTTGTGTGATGGTCAAGAATAATTTAAATTATGTATAAGCCGGTTTTAATAACTATTTGTAAAACTATTAAATATTAGACTAATGTGAGGTTAAAGATAGGTGGAAATGGCTATTGCTCTGCACTTTCAAGTTTCCTAGCTGCTGCCGATTTTATTCTTAAACAATTTTGTATACTTGTTTCATTAAAATAGATAAGTCCGCAGAGTTTCTCGCCGATTTTTTGTCGGGTCTAGTTTAGTGAAACGGTGGTTGTTTTTTTAACTTCCAATAGGAGCTTAAATTAATCGTATATAAGGGAATCTTATTATAATATTAAGGGAAATTTTGAATTAGAAAATAAAAATGAGTTCCCTGACCACGGATCTATGAGCAGATCGCTATTCTGCAGCACTGTCAGTTCGCGTTTTTTATTTATTTATTTAATCTTTATTGCCAACCTTCAGTAAAACAAGGTAACAAAGGGCGGACTTAATGCCCAAAGGCATTCTCTACCAGTCAACCCAGGATGTGGTGAGAGTTTATGGTAGGTGCAGCAAAAGATGCAAGAATAATAAAATTTTAGTTAAAGAGAATATATATGAAAATAATATTATAATTGGATACAAATCATATATTAAGTTATATACATGCATATGTATCAACGCCTCCTCAATGCACACGCTGCTTCTGTGACCGCGTCAAATTGCCATTATAAATCCATCGTCCGAACACAATCTCGTAAATCTTCGGCGTGATTGCGTACAACGGGCCGATCGATGCTGCGGTGACTCATCCGATCGCGGCCACATACGAAAACCGCGCCGGCAAATAGACCGTTTATCTATTAGAGATAAGTACAGTTGGTACGTACGTCGAATAAACATTGTATCATACAAGTCACTCGATTGAATGTAGTCGTTATAGTCGACAGATTATACGCTTATCCAAATTGGAAACGGGTAACGTGGTAGGAATTAAAGGCAATAAATAATGTTGCGATGAGATGAAACGGACATCGAATAATTTAATGTGTTTTGCTTCCTTTGGCTAGATCAATGCAATAATTTGCTTTGCAATTTAATTAAATACTATATTGTACCTCTTAACAACGATATAATAAAACTGAAGGCTTATATTATATTGACAGAAGGATTAGCATGAGTATTTCTAAACATTATGCTGATCAGATTGGGAAAATGCTGGAGAAGATAAGTAGTGATCGGAATAACGGATTGTTGGTTACAACCCCACACAAGATAAGTATTCGACTTTTTTATATAAAAATTTAGGGCGCATATTAAAGTATAATATATATTACATAGATGTCTTAATTTTTGGAATAGGTCAGTAGGACGCGTTATCTTAGTAAAAGTCGCGCAATACTGACCTGTAAAAGTTCAAGCGTCCCAGGGACACAATCTGTGGATGCTTTAAGTTTTGAAAGCCCAGGGTGATGACCTAAAGTTATACCAAAGAAGTTAAGTTGCATTCATTTAGCATTCTACGTTCCACCATAAAATAAATAGATACTAATCATATCTGTATATTATGTGTAATTCTCAATATCAATGCTTATATTACAAATAAGCATTGAGATATATGCTGATGTAGTAGTAATATACATATATATTACTACTACATTAGCTTCATTTCATTCCGCAGTGGACAGGCGCCAACCCGTGACCCGGAATAACCACCGCTAAATGTCAACCAGTTTAATTAACTGAGGAGGTCACACGTAGCGAATTCAAACGAACGTATCCTGGTTACTTATTACTTATCTTGCCCACATCTCGCTTCGCGCTTTAGAGTTTAGCTAAAAGCGGGTTAGAGGGTTACACCAAGGCGCTGTGTTAGTGCCGCAGCAATTAAAAACGTTTAATGGCCACAACTGCTGCTTACCGTCGTCGTTTTTTTTTGTGAGTTCTTTTCTAACGCTTCGTGCGCATCGACTTTTCCGCTGCGTTATCATGTGGGCTCTGTAACGGTTGAAGCCGAGTCCGCAGGCTCACCGCTTCAGCGTACCGAAAATCGGGCGCGGTCGGCCCGCGGTGAATTATTTATTTAAATAAGCCGTTGCCATGCGAACGTTCACTAGATCGTTTGCAGCTGAAAACTGCAGCGTGAGACGATAACGTATGCTTCGAATTTGATAGTGTAACAAAATATAACCGCTGTATTTCATTACATTTTATGTTACACAATACATGTTACGTTTTATAGTCGCATAATTCAGCTGCTTGACGATTTATTATTTCGACCGAAATATAGTACGTGGCTTGTAATACAGGAAGGAAGAACTATGGTTACGGCTGGTTAATTTCGTAATTAAAGTTTGTTCGTTCACTCGATATGATAATTTTTTTGTCATGACTACTTTAATTGACACGAGCTTGTAAAGCATAATCTGTATACTATATATGTAATATTTTCTACTGTTTTGTAAATAAAAAAGAATACAAATAGTATAATCACGTTATACAAGCATTTACACGAATAGCTGCAATCATTCAACACGGTCAATATTAACGCAATAGCGACGTCACTCCGGTCAACGGGGGAAGTGTTTGCTCAACAACTCCGCCTCTTAACACGAACTTGATCAATAGGGAAGTGATTCTCGCGCGACAAAGCCATCACGGGCGACCTCCACGCTCGGATTACTGTCCGTGTCCAAACTGACGATCTCCTCTCGCCTTGGAATCAAGCCACTGGTATAATCTACAATTACAAGTTCTTGAAGGACTCAACTCTTAAGACTTTACATGCTGCTTATTTTATCACATATAATTTGAAAGTAAATTTCGAATATTTTGAATCGTTTGCACTATTCATGGTCCCAAGAAGTACTGATGCGTTAGATCTCAGAACGTCATATAAGTCGGCTGGTAACGGCGTGTATGGTACAAAACCAAGAGCGCGATTATGCTTCTAGTAACACACAAGTGTACAAATGTGCATCTTTGCTGGACAGAGTACCTATCTACTGTTCTGTGCAGAGGTTATTGGGTCGTTGCAGATTGGCGCACTTCACGTGCGCACCATTCTGGCCAACGGACGCCGGGTTATTACAGAGCAGTTATATTACTTGCGGCTTAGTTCGTGGCGATCTTTTCGTTATGAAATAAAAAAAAAAATAATGTTTCGACATACAACGAGAATGAAATAAACATATTTAGGTGAACGGAGCATCTGAAATTTGAAATTTAGGTTCGACAGACGCTATTTTAAGAATCTCTTAGCGGAATCGAAAGTGAAAGAGAATCGTCACCATGTGCGAAATTTTTCGATCTGCAATCGGTAAGCTATTGGCTTCTGGATATGTATTTGTATGAAATGTGTCCTTGGAGTATACCGACCGCCTTCAGTTGTTGGGAGTCGAAATATCCTCAAACCTCAACTTTTGGCGGTTCATTGAGTCTAAAGCCAGAGCAGCTGCAAGGAAGTTAGGTGTCCTTGCAAAAGTGCGACGGTACTGCACACCGGGGCAGCTTCTTACGCTATACAAAGCTCAAGTCCGATCGTGTGTGGAGTACTGTTGCCATATCTGGGCCGCAAAATGCCATCTGGCTGCCATGGACTCAATGGAGAGATGTGCGGAAAGGCTTATTGGTGACCGTAACTTGGTTAAAACCAACCTTACTAGCCTTGAGCACAGGCGCAGAGTAGCCAGCCTCTCGGTCTTCTACAGGATGCATTTTGCATAATTTGCTTCCTCCTGCTCCTTTCATCATCGGACAACTAGGCGTTCGGCGAGGCTCCACTCTTGCTGTCGACGTTCCCAAAACAAGAACAAAGCGATTTGCCTTATCATTCATCATCCGTACAGCTAAGGAATGGAACAACCTTCCGGCGTCCGTCTTTCCGTCCGATTACAACGTAGGCGTCTTCAAGGCAAGAGTGAATAGGTTTTTACTGAGCTAGCGCGCTTACCATCAAATGCTGCATCGCCACTTACCATCAGGTGGGATGGCAGTCAAGTGCTGGCCAGTTAAAATAAAAAAAAAATGACCCATAGATATTTGTGTTGTTATTTATTATTTCATTCGTGTGAAATTTTTGATGTATAATTTCATTTTATAGCAAGACATATTTTTTAAGAGAGAGATGACCGTAATATGGAAGTCCGTAGTCAAGGCGATTAGTGAAAAAAACGGTACCAACGATCCGATAACTTATTAGCACGTAAAATGATACAGTATAAATAAAATAATTCTTAATGCAGTTATGTCGTTCCGATAAGATTGTATCGATTTGATAACGTTTCTCTTTTACAGCTCTAATGGACCAATTCCTCGGACGAAATTAAACCTTTCGATTTTACACCAACGCATCATCGGCCAGTGCTGGCTAAGCTCACTTCAATCTTTCCTCGTATAACATTACTAGCTTTTCGCCCGCGGCTTCGCCAGCGTTGTAGCCCTTAAAATAAATATCATTCAACCCTTTACAACACTTTTTTCCAATTAAAAAAAGCTTCAGGCTCTAGGCTCTAGACTATCTGTGTACCAAATTTCATTTAAATCGGTTCAGTAGTTTTGGATTGAAAGCGAGACAGACAAACAGACAGAGAATGTTACTTTCGCATTTTTAATATTAGTATGGATCATTAAGGTCGCGGATAACTTTTGAGATTTCCGATTGTACCTAAATCTTGTCTATCCGTTCGTTTTCACAAACGAGCGAGCGTACCTCGGCACGGCACACGGCTCGCCTACTTTCGCCGCGGGCAAGGGCCACACGTGCCCACCGCGCGTCCGCCCGCCCGTAATGATAATTAGCAGACGAAATTGGCCCCAGACAGCTAGGCGCCTTACTTCTGCGGCCCGCGCATCGCATTACCGACCGCTATAATAACACACCGCGCCGTCGTACGGGGCAATTAAAACAACAGAAGGAACAAAGTTCGTTTCCCACAAGTCAACGGGGCGAATGTCGCGGAAAATGTCGTAGTTTTTTTTTTGTATTTGAAAGAAGCTGACATCGAACGGGAGCATCATTTGGAGATGATCAAGTTCCATGGTGGATATCGACGTGCGCAATACGGGAGAGGACGCCGGTGCACTATCGTCAATTTTTTTTTACGTTAGAAGGTTGCAAGCGAGCTGGCGGTGCAGCTGATATTAAGTGATAACCACTGCCCATGGACATCTACAACACCAGGTTTGCAGATGCGTCTATGTAATTTCTAGGCAATTTATACACACGTTTTAAGTTTCATCTATAGCGTAAAGTTTAGCACTAAAAACCCTTCACAGCTCAGTTCAAATATCGTAAATATCGGTTAAGCCATCTGCTCAAGTCCAAACAAATTGGTTTTTCACCAATATCCGATTTTAATATTCTATCTACAGATAAATTAGGTTACTAACGATAGTTATTAGACATTAGCTCCATAACACTTACGTCAAAATTCTACCGCCATGAACCAAATCTATCTGTAGATATAACATTGAAACCGGCCGCCAACAGTCAGTTCAAACCTTTCAGTTGGAAAACGGGCGCAATGTTTCGCGTCGGCCGCACCTCGCGCTCTGATATGCATAACGCCATCGAAAGTGTAGCGGTGAACGAGATCGGGAAGTGATCGGAAACATGCAAACACAGAAACGCCAAGTTGCGCAAAAGCATGTATATATTTAAACATACACATAAGCCTTTTACCCGCAACCACATGGACGTAATTTAATGTCGATAAAAAATAGTACACTAATACAAAACCGTAAAAATTAGAATATTGTACGAGCACTTTTATTTATTTCGACTTGAAAACAACTCTGCAAAGTTTCGCTATAAAGCGTAACGGATGCGGACGTTCGGCCCACCAAAGGTCTAGCTTATCTTGCGGATAAGCTACGGGTAAAAATAACCGACACTAGAACTGAGTAAAAGCGGTGGACTACTCGTGGTGCTTGATTCAATAATCCAGAAATCTTCATCACTGCGGTAGGGTCTGCAGGAAATGAAGTGAAGAGACTAAAGGGCTTGGCGTCATGTATACGCACGTTAAGTTGCGTTTTTTTTTTTTTTTTGGGCTGGATGAGCCACTGTTGGCCTTAGGGGCCTTTACAGATCCGACGGACTTGAGGTGGCCTGGCGCACGAGGCGCCTAGCCTGAACCTATTATTACGCGTTATGGTGACTAAGCTCGAGGGCTCCCGGGGGAGCCTCGGCTCGGGCCATCACGCTATTATTATTATCGGTTTGGGAGGCCGCCAAGCTCTTATGGCGCTTTGGCGGGCGCTCCATGGAGTGATCAGGCTCAAGGGTCCCCGAGAGGGGAGGGGAAGGTCCCCGAGAGGGGAAAAGTTGCGAGAGTTGACTCATAGTAATATGCGCTCTCGGGTTCGAATCTTAATTGAGCGTTTACCTGACCCCTTGTCCCGGGCCGACAGAGACAGGACACCGGGTCTTTAGTGATGTACCCAATTCTGAGCCAGGTCACCCACCTGTCACTGCCACACTCCCGATCCAATGGCATCGATAATGGATTTTTCCACGTAAAAAAGGAGCATATAGGTAGAGCACATGGCTTTTTCCCACGAGATAAGGCTTGTGTCTTGTGTTCTCTCTAGCTATCACGTATAGAACCCATTGTAAACGCTCGCATAGGATTGTGATAGGAAGCTTTCTAGAAAAAACTGGTCGATTGATGTATTATAGCCGCTCCAGTTGCAGCGTTTCGCTCCCGATTAGCGTGCGAACGCACCGACAGGTAGTCCGAGGCACACCCGAGATGGCGTGAAAATCGCGCTCTATCCGCTTCATCCGATCGCGTCGATAATCGACTACGAAAGGCAACGGTGGCTCCGCGGTTGGAAACGTCGGCTCGCGATAATCGTTCGGGAGTTTCGGTCCCAAAGTAGTTTTCAAGTATCCTTGCAAAAAATATAATTTGTGTATCGGACCTTTGTAACACTAGAAATCGGCGTCTAATTAGTGGCCGGTTCGCGGTGAACTTCCTGCTTGACCAACGACATATTATACAGAGGGATATTTAAATCTTAATCGGTCGGATAATCCAACCGTGGTAGAGCCACGTAACAATTTCCACTGTTGCACGAAGGGTAAGTCTGCCCGGGGAAGTACCACGACCTCACAGAAGATTGCCGTGAAGTGGAATTCTACAATTCATCTGGTGTGTGAGTAATATGTGCCCCACCTTATAAAAAGGTGCTTACCCATCTGAAACTCTACTGGTGTTTCTAATGTCCACGGGCGGCAGGTATCACTTAACATCACGTAAACCGCCAGCTCGCTTGCCACTATCACGAAAAAAAAAATATCCTAACCTAATCTCAGACAGCAGAGTTAGACGAGTTGGGCATTACTCTTACTCTGCCCAGTTCGAGTTGAGCGTTTGAGGGCCTCGTTGTCTACGCCAAATATAGCACAGACAACAGCCGTGCAGGAATCGGGGGCGAGTGAAAAAGTGAAGTGTCACCGGCGTGCCGAGTGCACCAGTTACCCGGATTCAAGAGAGCGTAACCGACGCGGCCGGGGGCGTTGCGCGGCGGACGCTCCGCACCGGCGGATCTATTGTGGCCGCGGATCAGATTAGATAATGGGCCGGCGAGAGCGCGGATCTAGACAATGGCGACAGTTCCGCATTTTGCGAATCTGCGGAGAGTGAGAGCGTTCCTTGGGCACGGGCATATCAGAGCATGACACGTGGGTTCGTTCCGCCCGCCGCGGTCGCGTCGTGCGAAACCGTTTCACCTTGAGGTGATTGTTTTTTTTTCCCTTAGCGAAGGAGACGGGTGACGTTCTCACTTGTTGATCAATGCAACGAACGTATCTTTATAACATTATTGTTAATATATATAATACCTTGCAAGAAAGACTCACTGATGCGTGGCCTGGCTTATGTAAAAGAATAGTTAACAGTAGTGGCGCCAATTCACGTTTATTGAAAGGTACATACCTTGTTACGGTCTTTGAAGAAGGTATGTGTTCAGTTTTTTTTAATGTCAGAAGGTGGTAAGCGAGTTGGCGGCTAACCTGATGTTAAGTGATAGCCGCCGCGAATCGACATTTGCAACACCCGTACGGTTGCAGAAGCGTTGCCAGTTTACAATAAACTGGGCTTCGGCTACCTCACTCACCAGACGAAACGCACAAGTTATACGGTGGTAGGGCCACGCAGCAGCCTCGGCTTTTGCACGAATGGGCAGGCCCGTCCGGGTAAGTACCACGACCTCACAGAAGACCAACGTAAAGTGGAAGTATGACAAATACTTTCGCGTTTCGTCTGGTGAGTGAGGTAGGCAGAGCCCAATTTTCAAAAGGTTGTCAACGCATCTGCAACCCTCGGGTGTAGTAGATGTCCATGGGCGGCGGTATTCACTTACCATCAGGTGCACCGTCTGCTCGTTTGGCAACATTTCAAGTAAAAAAAAAACAACAAGTATTCATACATACGCAGAAGTATACATTTCCACTTCACGCGGGTCTTCTGTGAGGTTGTGGTACTTCCCCAGACGAACCTGCCCATTCGTGCAACAGCGAAGACTGTTGCGTGGCCCACAACAACTTCTACTTCAAGCCCACACCAAGGACATATACTTGAAAAGCTTTATTCTTGACTGAAATGATGATGATGATACTAATCTCCAGGTAAAAACAATATATAATTCTTCGAATGCCTTTTACCAATCACGATGACAGTACATTTTGAAGTTGTAAAAATTCGCAAAATAATAACGGGGGTGGTAAACAAAGATCAGTTTTACAGTCATTGAGAAACGGTATCTCTAAGCGTTAGTAACGTATCAACACTGAGCCAAACGGATAAGCTCATCATTCATTGGTAACTTAATATGGTGCGGCCATCTTTAATTCTCGAAAGCACTCTCGTTACGACCGGCCCCTACTGGCGCGTACAGCATAGTCGTCGGCATCATTTAGTTAGCGGCGCCACATTGCCGCAATTGCGCGCGAAGTAATTCAAAATTCTCAATCTAGAAGCATTACACTTACTTATTGATTGTCTAAATTCTACTACTACCTGAGAACTGCCGAAAGAAACTCAGCGGGACATTTTTTTACCATTATTCGACAACAAAAACACGTTCACAATATATGTATTTAAGTCCACTTGAAAGAGCCTGGAGCGATCAATTAATTTCCAGCGTATGCTATCAATTAGATAATGAGTAATTTTATATTAGCCTTACACACAAACGTTCTATTTTTTCTATTTTTTTTTTATTTAAATATTGTATACATTGTCCCATACACGAATTACTTATTCTACAGCTACACAGTCTCGTTGTATTATGGCCGCGATGTATGTATTTAAAAATATTGCCGCGTAGGCAAAGTAAGCCGCGCAGCACTAACGACGCGTACGTAGCAACGAACGAAACGAATTAATGCAACAATCCTATGTTTGATACCAATCTCTTAATTACACCTCATTACGACTAGATAGGACGCTGTTTTTAGGCTTAAATAGGCATAATTCCGAGTTCATCGGAATCCTTACCAGAAAATCCTCATGTAGCCAATGTATTAGCCTTCTCTATATATCCCATTAGGGACAAAAGACTTGTTAATGTAGTAAAGTATGTAGTAATTTTTTATAAATAGTAAATATCTTCGATGCGTTACTAGACATCGAAAAGCATATTATTGTGTTGTCTTCTTTAAGAAGGCTTAAATTGAAGAAGAGTGCACTTAACAGAGCTGAATATGGTATAATACATATAAAGAAGCGCTTTAGTTTGAAATCCAATTAGTTAACATTGATAATAACGAGATTTCATCGTTGTTGTTTTGGCCTTGTTTATCACTGTCATAAAAATAAAAGAGATATGCTGTTGTCACTTTACACAATTATGTAAATTCATATATGCAACTTCACCCGAAGAAGCTAGAAGTAACAGTATTCAAAGCTGTGTTGCTGGCGATAAGGAGAGAAACGACAAATAGTCAAAAACAATTGATTAAAACTGTGCACACACACGTGCACACTGGAGGGAAGGAATAGAAAGTGGGATAGAAAGAGAAAGAGAGGGAGAGTGGTTTCGAAGAATACTTATCACCCATTACCGATCACTGTTTGTGACAGCCGGCTTCAAAGCGACACCTGAAGAGCGAGTGCAATTGCAGGCGAGCGATAACATCTCGGATCCTGCCAATATGTTGGAAGCGCATCGGTCGGCCTTTGAATTACTCTTGCTTAAGATTTAAAAAAAAAAAAGATCCAGTCACCTCGACAATAGTTCAAGAGCCCCCATTGGTATTAATCACGAAGATGGAAGACGTCCATAGAAAGCGATCTTAAGTCGTACGACAATGCGTCCTGTGGATAAATATTCAATGCATACGGTGAACCATTTGGAAGATTTTAAATTAGTTACTTCGATCGCTCCACATTGAGTGCGTAGACCGACCGTTGTAGCGTTATTCTCTACTAGCGACCCGAATGGGCTTCGCACGGGTGCAACGTTTTATACATATAAACCTTCCTCTTGTATCACTCTATCTAATAAAAAAAACCGCATCAAGATCCGTTGCGTAGTTTAAAAGATCTAAGCATACATAAGGACAGACAGATAGCGGGACGACTTTGTTTTATACTATGTAGTGATTTAAGTATGTACGAATCACAGTCCGTGTATGGCAGGCAGTTCATTATCATTTTTAAGTAATTACTGGTGGAACGGTCACTCCCCGCAGCTCAGAAAGGCATCCAACATTATCAAGTAGTTAATAGCGATAATTTAGAAACATCGACACAGGCGGCGAGTTTAATAAGGAATGAATTTTGGTTCAACTATTCGTTATTTATTTCCGATTTGTTATATTGCAGGACACATCTGGTCTGTGTGTTAGCATCCAAGTCGTGAGAAACAAGACGATTTCTTTTTAAAAGACTTATTAATTTTTCTGTACTACATTCTTTCCCGCGGTATATTGATTGTAGATTATTTTGGGACTGTCTACTCCGTTGGGGTTAAAAACCTTGACACATGTTATATTTATCATAAAACTTATGCGATACAAAATCAAAATATGTATTGTGTTTAATATATTTCAAAGCAAGTAGTTATTTTTGTCGACTAACATATGGCGCGTAAGCTCTTCGTGTGGGTGTGGAAACGCCTTCTTTGGGTAACGGTGGAACATTCTCGACATTTTATTGTTATTTCATCATTTTAGGAGTCACAGTGCAAATGATGTAAACACAAAACAAAATCAATACGTTTAAGATTTTTTTGTGTTGGCCTTTGGATTACCTGTTTTTGGTATGGAGCTTCCGCGTACACGCTTGACACTTGACTATCTTAGCGTAATTGAAGTAGAGAATTCTAGTTGTCTATCTTAGCGCCATCTGACGACGACACACAACAACCACTTTGAGAGTCGTCAAGCCACTGATTAGTCATGACTGTGGTAGGGCCATGCAACAGGCCGCTGTTGCACGAATGGGCAGGTCCGTCGGGAGAAGTACCACGACCTAACAGAAGACCGGCGTGAAGTGGAAGTGTTATACTTCTGCGTTTGGTCTGGTGGTGAAGTAGCCGAGGCCCACTTTATTGGAATGTGGCAACGCATCTGCAACACTACAGGTGTTGCAAACGATATCATGCGAACCCCCAGCTCGCTTGCCTTCTCACATATAAAAAAAAATAATCGATGATTCTGGACAGACGATGAGTCGAGGATCGAACCGGAGCCCTCACCGGCGGCCGTGCAGTCCCACGTGTGTGATTATTTCGAACGAATCGCCCCTTAGAGGCGTATTAATTTATTCCCATGTCACAATCGAGTACGCGCGGCGGCATCGTGAGAAATGCGATCATTAAGTTATCTCTCGCTCTTGCGGGCGGTGAGACCTCCTGTCGCCGCACTTATCATTTCGACGTTCAGTTAACATGGGGCTTCTTAAAACTCATATCGGTCTAAGTTCTATTTAATATGAATGGCGATTTGGCAAACCAAATTATAATATTACCATATTAATACCAATTAGTCCGTAGTAATATTGTGTTGTAATCGTCCTCGGAAGTAATGAATTCAGTAACAGCAACCTAAGGATTAGGGCTTTCGCGCTGTAGTTGCAGTAGCACTGATTTAAAATTAACATAATAATATGTGACTAGAATTAGCCTAAGATGCAGACAGCCTTCTTGTTTTAACCCGTAACCATTAGCGCTTAGGGAAAGAGAACACTGATACATAGCACCACGCAATGGCTGCTGTCTGATTTTATAATCATAAATGAAGAGATAGAGAAAAATAAAACTCAACAGCGATAAGCCCTGATGTTGCCGTTCATGGACTCAATTCGCAAATGAAACAAAATTATTATGACCCACTCTTAGATAAACTTTCACATCTGGATGTTTGTCCACGCACTATTTTGTCCGTTATATGACGTCAATGACACTAATTCTCTAATGTGATATTTTCGATAATTTTTGGGTCGTATTAGTTACGTGACAGATATTCACTACTGCAGTAGCCAACACAGCGGATTTTGCCAATTTTGATATTTCTGCTGCATGTATTGGCCAGGCAGACAAGGGTTGACATGACTTCAAAGAAGACGGGCAAGATAAATGATAGATAGAAAATATTCTTATAATTCTCTGTTCCTGCCACGGTTTTAACTCTTGATTTAAAGTTGGTACCACGCCTGCGATCCGAGGAGCTAATGTTGTCGCTTATGACAAACGGTGCTTGTTTACCATCGCATTAAAACGCTACAATTTAATAAAAAGATCCCAATATATCCGAAGCCGCAGCAGGGAACGAGCATCTCCCCCGTGCGGAGCTTCTATTTGCGGCACGCGACACGAAGCCGGCGGGTCGCGTGCCTGCGGGGTCAACATTCGACGCATCGGACGAGATATCCGACACCGACGCGCTTGCCTTTGCCAGACATACCATTGCAAGACGACGACTTAAGCAACGTTCAATTGCTTTTAAATTGACTTTTAGTACTTCGATATCCGAGACGATGCTCGTCGCGGTTCTCGGACGCTTTCTAGATCTACGCAACGACGCTTAGCGGTGGATTATTAACTTTCTAACAATTTTACCGGCCCTGCACAAGTTAGGACGAGTGCTTGCGCCTGTATCTTGTAGGGCGACTTTTTCGTTTACAGTCTAAAATTACTCTGTGAAGCTAATTCGTAGACATAGCCCGCGGTAAGACTTTCAATGCCTTATTAATTTGGAGTTAGGGCTCGAAATCGCCTTTTCGCTCGAAGTGTTAGTCGGAAGATATTTCACAATTTTAACCCTTGCCTGATATTAACGATGTTTCTTTGCACTCGCGAACGTATATCAATGCGAAGTAGAGTTCGCGATATTTACAAAGATCTATTGGTTATATTACAATGTCTTAATGTGTCTGAATATGAATGATTTT